GAATTTGATATTCCGTGGACAGACCGATCAGGCTAGGGGTTAATTTGCACATCGAACGTGTTTCGGAACGTGTGTATCGTCGCCCCGCCAATGGCGACCAGGGCGGGGAACAGACGTATGCGTTACAGGAGAAAAAGAGAAAACGTGTCGCGAGACTTGTGTTTTTTTTCTCGATGGTACGACGAGTATAACCGTCGTACGAGACAGAACGAAACTAGCTACTACAATAACCATAGGAGTAAGTAAAGAAGTGTAACGACCAATAGACAGGTAAAGGAGAGGAGCGATCGCGACTCTGCGACCTGGTCCACGGAGCTGGCGACATTGTCCACTTAACCTCTTATAGAAACATAGAAAAATTCATCATTTAATTAATTCATAGAAAAATTCATCCTAGATTCTCCAAATTCTTCTAGATTCGATTCTACATGGACATTGGAATTTATCAAATTCAGTGTTCAGATATCAAATTCTCGAGCTTTCGTAGGTTCCAGCGGACGATCGACCAGCTCCGAGGATCAGACAAGGTCAATGGTCACGCGATTACTCTTTCAGGCCATAAAGTATATATCTCGTGTAGTTTTGTCAAGGCTCGTTTATGTTTGTTGATGTGTTACCTTTCGTTAACTAGCTTGTCAGTGAACGGGTTTCGTGGATGTCGCTTCATAATATCGCTCTCTGCCTCCTCGTAGGCAAGTGAGATGGCTGGCACCTGACGTCACATTATCAACAAGCTCAGTAACAAAACGCCAACAGAGTTAGATCAATGAATATTGTTCGGTGACCTTTTTTTCGGGGACGGGGTACGGGACATGGGCAAGGATGCCGATCGTTTCGCCGCGAGGATCGAGGTCCCCGATCCGGAGGACCAGTCGCCCGCCATCTTGGCGGCGACGGTCGGCATCCTTGCGGCTCTGTGTATCATCGTGATGAAAAAACGTAGGGGGTGGTAAGCAAAAAACAAAACTGAGGCAACTGAGTCGATCGGGTGGACGATGATGGGGAGGGATCCTGTGGGATTTCCCGGGATTCTCGAGGCGTGTCGACCGCCGACGATTAATCGCTATCGTGACGCTTCCGTGGAAGCTCCCTGTCACAGCTGAAAAAGACATTTTTGCGCGAGGATCTTGTTTCTTCAGGTACGGTTCCGTTTGAACGTGATCAATCGAGTGAAGCTCGCGGCGAACGAACCAAGATCCTCATTTAATATATGATACGATTAATATTCCTTAGCAGGAACCCTGGAAGAAGGATCCAGAGATCAGAGTTAGATCCTTAGGGTCTACCAGCGCTGGTACTCGACAGATCTGGCCTACAGCGGTTACTGGAGCGTCTAGCCGGTTGTCTGATCTACCGGATCTAAGGAGAGAACACAAAGAAAGCTTTCGTATCGTATGGGGTCTGTTTTGCGCACAGGACCTTTCGTTGACGAGGTTGTCGAACATCGGGTCGCGGGGCTTTCTCTTCATGATGTCGGACTCGGCATGCTCGTACGCCAGGGATATAGCTGGTATCTGGTAATCATTATTCGAGAGGGTTCGTCATTACGCGCGAGACTCGGCCGGCGGTTATCCCATTCTCGCCGGGATCGGGGTACGCTAAGTTAGGCTGAAAAGGTTCAGTTCGCTTGCGAGGAATCGCAACGAATCCTCGACTGGTCTGACATTCCAGGACCCGGTCGAAGTGTCGTCGGATTCCTCGGGAGGTGATACGGGGTTGTTCGATCGTTTCCGAGCGGAAACGACCGAGAACGATGGATCAAGAGTCACACTCACCATGTCCGTTCCCAGATCGATGCACAGGATTGTGACAGTGCCGAGAGGTAAGGGGATATCGCAAAGGATGAACGCCAGGAAGGGTGAGATTTCGGGGATGTTCGAGGTCAGGGTGTACGCGATGGATTTCTTCAGGTTGTCGAAGATCAAGCGGCCCTCCTCGACGCCAGTCACGATCGATGCGAAGTTGTCGTCGAGCAGGATCATGTCGGCGGCCTGTTTCGACACGTCCGAGCCGGAGATACCCATGGCGACGCCGATGTCGGCCTTCTTCAGCGCGGGAGAGTCGTTCACACCATCACCTGGTCGAGGGAATTGTTATTTGTTTATTAATATCAACACTTAGCCAATGGGGAGATCTCCCACTTTTCACTTAGCAACGTATCGTCTTTTTCCGTAGATCTTTTCTTTTGTTATTTAGTAAGTCTTGCAGTGGCATATTTGCAATTCATCAAATACGGTTCTTGTTTTTACAAAACAGTTTCTAACTGAATTCACTGAATGAGTTCAATTGAAGATAACGGAGGAGGTTGTAGTCATAGTGATAAGTGCAGACAATTATTCAAGGAAAAAGCTGTCCAAAGTAGATGAAAAAGTTGCTAGACTTTGAAGCTTGGTTCTCAAGAGAAATTTATGAACTTTGGTACACATTGAGACTATGAGGAAAATAAGTTTCATTCGACTTTGGTAGATGTTTGAATATTTATATGACAACGCACCAGTTACAGCGACGATAGCACCCATTCGCTGGCAGCCTTCGACGATGATGAGCTTCTGCTGTGGCGAGGTACGGGCGAACACAATTTCGGTGTGGTACCTGAGGATCTCGTCCAGTTGGTCGGAGTTCAGTTCCCTGAGTTCGGTTCCGTGGATGACGGCAGCCTTGGCCTCGCGAGGATTCACTTCGGACACGGGGATGTTCAGACGTTTGGCGATGTCCTCGACGGTTTCGTTACCTGCGATCACGCACGACTGTGTTACTCTTCGTTTAGTGCTTGGAAAAGCTAGCTCGTAGCTCAAGTAAGCTGAAGATCCAACTTTCGAGTGTCTTTTCATGGAAGTCAGGCATTGATTTGGGAGAAACGAGGATAGTAGCTAGCGAATCCTACAGTTAGGATACTACAGTACTGTCTTGAGAATTATACTATCATTTTGGAAACTATAATTATATATACTATAGAAACTAATTTCGCTTGGAAAACCACAGTCGAAGCAACAAACCTAGTCCCTCAATTTAAGAACTAGTTTCAGTCAACTGAAGGACCAACAAAAGAACTTGAGTCAGCTGTTAGCACTAGATTCAGGGACACATTCTGTCGTCCCTATAAGTCTACATGTTTCTTAATAAAATCGTCAACTTCCCAAATAATATTTCAAAGATTGCCTTACAATAAAGTGTACACATGGCGCAGATTTTAAAGAGAATTCAACAAGCATGTACGTTTACCCTTTAGAGTTCAACTGAAATTATTCTTTTATCAATTACGCTCCAGAGCAAAGATCATAGAATATACGTATAACTTTCTTTTCCTGAGTAAATCATCAATGACAAAGTAGTTCTATAGCTGAGAAATAAATCAAAGGACAAGGAGTTAATATCAGATCTCAGTAGGAAAGAATCAGCGCAGCGGACAGTAACCTTCAGAGATGATGCCGACAGATTTGGCAATGGCTTTGGCAGTGATCGGATGGTCACCGGTTACCATGATGACCTTGATACCGGCTGACCGGCACTTGGCGACCGCGTCGGGCACCGCAGCCCTCGGCGGGTCGATCATAGACATCAGGCCCACGAAGCGGAGTCCGTCGACCGGGAAGTTGGGGTCGTCGCAGTTGAACTTGAAGCCGATCGGGAACTTGTCGGACGGCAGGACGTAGTCGCAGAAACCGAGCACACGCTCGCCGAGACCGCCCAATTCGAGGTACGCGTTGTTGAACGCCTCCTTCATCTCCTCGTCGAGCACCTTCTCTTTGCCGCCGATGAAAATGGTCGCGCAACGGTCGAGGATCCTCTCCGGCGCTCCCTTCATCACCAACAGATGCCTAGGATCGTCCGGGTTGTCCGACTCGTGGATGGATACTTGGTACTTGTTCGTCGAATTGAACGGTATCTCGCAGACTTTCTTGTTGCGCTTCCTGATGCCCATCACGTCGCCCAGAGCGAGTTCCATGCACTTCAGCAGAGCGGCCTCGGAAGCGTCGCCGTTCACCTCTCTCTGTAAGATCGGCTTCTCCTCCTCCTTCAGCTTGAACTCGGCGCGGTTGCAGAGGGTGGCGATCTTGGCCAACGCCTTGAAGCCGGGACTGGTGCGGTCGTACTGCAAGCCGGATTGATCCTCGGTGGTGTCCGCCTCGATGATCTGATTGTCGAACCACATGTGCGCGACGGTCATACGGTTCTGCGTGAGGGTGCCGGTCTTGTCCGAGCAGATGGTGGATGTTGAGCCGAGGGTCTCGACGGCCTCCAGATTCTTTACCAGGCAGTTCTTCGACGCCATGCGTTTCGCGGTGAGGGTCAGGCATACGGTTACGGTCGCGAGCAAACCTTCGGGTACGTTAGCCACGATGATTCCAATCAAGAAGATGACCGCGTCCAGCCAATGGTAACCCAGAATGAAAGCGATAATGAAGAAGGTGACTCCGAGGAACACGGCGACGCCTGTGATCAGGTGGATGAAGTGGTGGATCTCCTTAGCGATCGGTGTCTCACCGGTATCAAGGCCGGACGCTAGACCAGCGATTCTGCCCATCACCGTCTGATCGCCACAGCAAATCACCACCCCCTTTGCGGTGCCCTCAACGGCGTTGGTCGAGAAGAACGCGAGATTTTTCGTTTCGAGCGGGTTTTCGTTCGTGAACTCTGGAGACCTCGATTGCGGCTCGGACTCGCCGGTCAGCGAGCTGTTGTCCACCTTGAAGCCACGTGACTCGATGATACGGATGTCCGCCGGTATACGGTCTCCGAACTTCACCTCGACTACGTCACCGAGCACCAACGCCTCCGCTTTGACCATCGATTTCTCGCCCTCCCTGATCACGGTCGCCTGTTGCGGCACCATACTCTTGAACGACTCCATGATCTTGCTGGATTTGCTTTCCTGGTAGTAGGAGAATATGCCGGTCACGATCACGACCGAGGCCAGCACGATGCCCAGGTAGAGATTGTCGTCGTTCGGGTCCTCGCTGGTCGACGCCTGGATCGAGTACGCGATGAAACAGAGGATCGCGCCGATCCACAGCAGCAACGCGAAACCGCCGAACAGGTTCTTGCAGAACTTCACCCATTCCGGGGTCTGCTTCGGCGGCGTCAACGCGTTCGGGCCGTCCCTCTCGAGGTTCTCCTTCGCCTTCGCGTAGCTGAGGCCCTGCAATCCAAACTTTCGTTAGAATGTGCTTTGGGAATCATGGTTGCCTTTGATTTTTTTTGCTTTAATGTACGGGGGATTGCTATGTTGGAAGATGGCGAAGTTATACGGTGTGAGAAGTCAGTTGCGATTTAGGAAATTGAGAATTGTACGTTATACAGTTGCGAAGTTGAAAGGTTATGAACTACAATTTGGGAATAGCGGAGTTATAAGTTATCAAGTTATCAAGTACGATTCGCAAGTTGAAATTATCAAATTATAAATTACGATATAGGAAATTGCAGAGTTATCAATTACAATTTAGAAGCTACAAATTTAGGAAATCATCAAATTACGATCTATGAAATCACGAAATTATCAATTACAATTCAATCACAATTTGGGAGATTACCAAATTACAATACAGGAAACTATCATCAGTTACAATTTGTACGTTGCAATTTAGGAAATTACAATTTAGGAAATCGCAAGGTTATAAATTGCAATTTGAAAGTTACAATTAAAAAATTCCAACTGACCAATTGATCCATTTGCGAAAGCTTGAACGCGGATTAATTGGGCACTGCCCCCTCGAGCAACACCCCCTCCAAATAAGGGATATCATGAATTTCGTGACGGCGGCGGTACTCAAGCTTTAAATAACACTGGATCCATCGATCGACTGACGCTCGCGGCCGGAGAAAACTCTATCCCGGCCTATCCGGGGCAACTCCGGCCGTTAAATAAATTATTCGGAAAATAGGACGCACGCGAAACTGCTCCACGATTATCGATGGCACCGATTCTAAACACAACTATCGTCAATCTCGCAAAATTACCTTTCCTCGCGTCTAATCAAGCAAATTGCGCTCATTACCATCAACCTTCTTAAACAAACCCCGTATTATTTCTTTCGCGTTAACACGTTGACCATCAAAACTTCTCATAATCAAAATAATTCCCTCAATTCAATTAACAACTAAAAAATTACTAATTTTAAAAATTATTAATTTTCCACGGCGACTGCTCCCTTAACACTTCGACTGCCACGTAAACTCATCAAAACTCCCAAATACTCGAAATAGTTTTCTTCATTAACTAGAAACTGCGAAATCAAAATTCTTAGTAATTATTTCCAAGAAAATTTGGTTTGTTCGACACGTCACCAAGCAAATTAATGTCCAAGTTTCTAACGATAGTGTCATGGCAGTCAAAGTGTTAAATTCTATTTCTTTCATTCTCAAATCTATTAAAAAGTGATATCATCGACGATTCCTATAATGTTCAAAGTGTTAAAAAGAATTTCTTCAATTCCTTCGATCCACTACCACTCTGGATCGCAGTGGCTTTCACTCACGTTCTCGGGGTGCGTCTGAAATCTCCGATACAATTCTTCGGGTGTGATTTTGTGGAAGTCAATGTCTAACTCCTGCTTCAAGTCCTCTAAATTGTCTGTCTTCCGCTTTGGGTTCTTCCGCCGCGACTGTTCAACAGAAAAGACATTGCATTAGTATATTTATTAGTAACGCTACGCTTTGAGAAGGTTATAGGAGGGGTTAGTGATCAGTAACAGTGACCAAAGTATCCTAATTAGAATTAGGACAGGCCACCTAACACCATCACCGAGATTATTACACCATCACCAATTACTTTTTCAAAGAAGTTTCAGCGAATATATTAATATTGTTACAGTTTGATTTGTAGACAGTTATCTCCGGAAACACATGTTAGTCAAATATTTGATCCACAGGAAACACATGGTAGTAAAATATTTGATTCGCAGGAAACACATGTTAGTCAAATATTAGATTCACAGTGGAGAGTTATTAAAATATTCTATCATTGTTACGACCATCCCACAAGTAACGTCGCTTCTTACCTTACTTTACATTATCAACCCTTTGCACTCGTAAGTTTTTCGCTAGAAATATTTTAATATTTAATATTTTAAATATCAAAATATTAATTATAATCAATTTTAAATATCAAAATATATATTATTAACATTTTAAATATCAAATTTTATAGTTTCACTGTAGGAAATCAAGCGGTGGAGAGTCACCTCTCGAGTGCAAAGGATTAAACTATCAATTTATCAAATAATTCAATGAAACATTGCCAAAAGCTTATAATTCATTAATCCAAAAATGTAAAATTAATCGAAAAATGGGAGAAGGTGATGCAACATGCTCAATACTTTGATTGTTAAAAAACATAGACATGAATCTCCGACACTAAAAATTCCCCCATAGGAACGTTACTTGCGGGATGATCTATATTTCCAATATTCACATTGGAAGATCATTAGGGAGAGAATGAAACACACTTTTCCAGCAACGCACTAGCACGCGTAGCCGCAATTGAAGCGCACGCGCAGATGTTAGTGTAAAGCGACTACTTGAAGCAGTTACCGTTGCAAAGTAGAACACACCAACGCTTGGCGAGCGTTTCAATGGAAAGTTTTCGTTCGAGGATCGCAGGATCAACGGCAGAAGGATAGGTCCTGGATCATTATGATAAACCAATGTCCGTCCACCTGTCCGCTGGACGATTATTCACAGGGTCGGCAATGGGTGATTGGGCAAACACGTTCGGGTAGGGTTGGTATTAATAGCCGAGTTTAATGACGGTATTTATGGATCATCCGACGGTCGTTATTAATTAAAGGATCGTTCGTTTCCCGGGAACTGGGGTAATCGCCGAGGGACCCGTTCGACGTATGCTCCTCGGGTAATCCCATAAATCCTGCGACCGGTATCAGTCAATTATCTCGAATTAACGTGTCGCGATCGAGCAAGCCAAGCGATAGTCGAAGAGCGATGCCGCCTTTCGCGAGGATTAACCCTTTGCCGACGAGGATTCGTCGAGTTTCGAACTCTTTCCGAAAGAGATTCGATTGTCCATTGAAACAACACATTGTCGGATAAATTTCAGATACTAGAATCTTTACGCATTTTGAAACATCAAACCGAAATTTGTAAGCTATGAAGTAAGGAATTCGATTTTGTAATTTTACTTTGGATTTGTGTTGCACAGATCTAAAATGTTACATTGACCCCTTGGCGTACTATTCACTTTCGTTACTAAGCTCGTGTAATATTTTACTATCGACGATTTGTAAGGAATGCAATAAAATTTTCTATTCTACTTCAAGTGGAAATTCCATTTGAAGATAATAAAATGAACAGCATTGATTCTTGTTAAAGTAGTTTAGAAATCTTCGTCACGAGTCTCACTCGTCGTTGTACGGAAAGAGGTCAATGCGGGACTAGCAATTAAACGATAGATTAAAAATTCCGAATTATCGCGGGAGGAAAGAAAATCTGGTATTGTTTGAATAATGAAATTATTCGTTCGCAGCTTTCGAAACGTTACGGCGACATTCGACTGCAAAGGGTTAATCGAGAACGATCGAGAACGATCGAGGATTTTTCACGAAGTTCTTCGACGAATCGAAGATATTTCTCGTTTTGAACACTGTCTACCCTTTGTTTCATCAGCACATTAAAGCTTCGAATGTACTTTAAAATTAGTAGTTTTACTGAGACAAAGGGTAGACGAGTATTCTGTTCGTTTAGAAGTCCAAGTCGCGACTTAGACTGAACCTCCAGTTTCAGAAAGATTTGTAGCGAAGAGTGTGTAGAATAGAATAGTCTATGAGAATGTCTCGTGAAGATCAGCCTTCAGAGAGACAGTGCTAGGAAATCAGAACAGTGTTTCGTAGTGTTCAACCCTTTGCGTACGAGAATCCTCGAAGGAACCCTTTTTAAAGTCTTTGAAGTTACATATCAAGCTCTCGTTACTTGAATCATCGAATGATTCCTTTGCAGCTTCCAAATTTAAACAACACGAGTCGCTCGGAAGCCAATTTAGTCCAAAGAAAAGAAATTGGAAATTAATATTCTAGCTTTCGAAATTATTCAACATACTCGGAAGCTATAAAAAACGAAGGCATCCCTTAGTAACTAAAAACCATATAAATTATTCCATTAGAATCGAAAAGATCAGAAAATGTCAGAAAATGTGTCTAATAGCATTAGTTTCCGAACGATTCATAATATTGAGTATAATTTTATAATGCAATAGAATATTCACTTTATAATGCTGCTGTACGAAACTGAGTCGATTCCCGAGCGCAAAGGGTTGATAGCAGTTGTTCGAGAGGATCGGTTAGTATACCCAAGGCGAAAGGAAACGATTAGTCCGAGTACCAAGAGAGAGCCACACCGAGAAGATAAGATATCATGGAAATGAACCCTCATAGAGTGTTTGCAGACGCGAGGAGAAAAATGGTCTATCGCCCGAGACGAAGCAAGCCCCCGAAAAAAAAGAGACATTTTAAGTGGAGTCGCCGCGGGGACCGGAAGTCCTCCGCAGAATACCTTGAACATCCCGTCTGCCGTTTTGTTGTCGTCGCGAATTTTAGGCAACGTCGCGACCCTGTACGAGTCTGAGCGGCCATGCTGTAAAGAAATGTATGATTGGTAATGTGAGACACGTGAATGAGCGCTGAAAAAAAAATATACAAGGTGTAAAAAATATAAAATAAATTCATGAGGCGATCGAGGACGCGTGAAATGAAAAGAGAACAGAATAATAACGACGTTCGACGGGTTCGACGATGCTGCGCGACGCTGATCGTGCTGGAAAATGATTTCCTCGCGGAGAGATCGGGTAATTGATGACTGTCCTTCTCTTCTGTACGATTCTGACCTCGATCGAGGTACCATTAGAGGGTAATTATTGTTACTAAGTTGGAAAGTGAAGTTTCGAGTACGATTGCTCATGGTTCGATATTTGTGAATTCGATTCATTCAATTCGGAATGAGATTCTCTGGATGTCTCGATGCTTAACGAACTTTCGTTTTGATTTTCGAGATTGCAAATATTGTCTAGAATGCTGTGTAACGTTGAGATTATAAGAGAACAGAGTTCGTTAAATAGAGTGGAGCATTGATTAACCCTTTGCGGACGAATGTCGGCATTTTGCTGAGGTCAAACTTCCATATTTGGAATACCAAATTACAAACAAATGATTTAATTACTCGGACAGTAAGAGATTAGCATGTAGTTCCTGTTATCGCTATTATTTAAGCAATTAATATATAATTTAGCTTCATCCGTTGAAGGTTTCCTACATTTCAACGAATCTTCGTTTTCTATTTTCCTATTGTTCAAGTAACTGTTATATAATTTAGCTTCGTCTGTTGAGGGTTTTGTGTATTTCAGAGAATCTTCGTCCGCAAAGGGTCAACAATTTTTTCTATATTTATTAATTAATTAACGTTTCAATGACTCCCAAATATTCTTGAATAAATAAATAGCGTCATATTAAGCTATCATTGAATGAACTAACGTCGGAATCTCAAAGTGAGAAATCAAGAGCACTTCGGACCGCAAAAGGTTAAACCAGAGCGCAGCATTCGGTTTTTATTGTCTTCTTCAGTGTTCCGAGAACACTGGGGGAACTTCAATTTGCTAAGACGTCGGGACGGTCGCTGTTAAATGAAGTTTCGGTGATTTAGGCTGCAGCTGGAGTGCGTTAGATTTTCTCGGAATAGTGGTGAATCAGGAACGCAGAAACGTATTCGGACGACCTTCCCGAAACACGTGGGCAGCGTGAATCGAACACGTGAGAGACCGCGGTGCAGTCAGAAGCCTAATTTTCAAGAGCGACCTCGCTGGTACCGCTCGGCTCGCTTGCGTTTGGATAACGACCGCTTCCGGTGCCGTTTCAATGGAGGCGTATCGCTGAAATCGCTCGACGGTATCCCGTGATCGAGGCTATCCTTGAACGGAGCACCATGGATCGCGGCCGATACATTTTTCTCGGCTCGCGACGGGAAATCGGGAATCCTGTCGTTCCGTTTCGCGCTGAAGATCCTGCGATTTTTGTAAAATAAGGCGTTTTCGAATGGTCTTATTGGACTTTTCAGAAACTATGAGACTTTGAGATTGATTTATTCTCTAGAAGCAACGATAGAAAATATTAAGTTTCAGGGGAAGAATATTGAAACGGACGCAAGGTGATAACTAACATAAAAATTTGCCTGATTTTTCCCGGAATCTTCACCATTTTGCAATATTCTCACAATGTTCTTGATAAAATATTATACAACGATGATTCTTCAAGGTTCATAGATCAAACCTAGCCGCATATCAACTCGTCAATCCTCGCCATCCATCTCACATCGGAGTTTCAAGCGTCGAGTCATAAATTCGCCTATTTTCATCTTAGCCCGTTCCTCTAAATCCTCGCCATTTTGAGACGTTCCCGCAATATTCTCGGTAAAATCCCACGCACCGATGGTTCCTCAACATCTACGGATCGAACCTAACCGCATATCAACTCGTCAATCCTCGCCATCCATCTCACATCGGCGTTTCAAGCGTCGAGTCATAAATTCGCCTATTTTCATCTTAGCCCGTTCCTCCGAATCCTCGCCATTTTGCGATGTTCCGGCGATATTCTCGGTAAAATACCACGCACCGATGGTTCTTCAACATCTACGGATCAAGCCCGACCGCACATCAACTCGCGAATCCTGACGAACCTCCGCCTATCGATCCGCCATCGGAATTCCAGGCGAGCGCCGCGCCATGAATTTGGCCAATCTCTATCGCGCCTCGTTATTAAACGGTCTAAAAAAAGCCGAGGCCTGATTATTTCCGAAGCGGAGCCGATCGATCGACGTCTCCCAGGTGACCATTCAACCGAAAAGTTGCATCCCCGTGCAAGATTCGCCGCGGCACAATGGCTCCGGCAGGCACCGCGTCTATCGATCCCGGCACGTGTGCGCGCGATGTGATGATAATTGTCGCCCCGTCGCGTCGCGGCCGAAGATTTCGCCCGCCGCACTGCAGTAAATTGTCTCGACCTCTCGGATCGGCGACTCCAATCTCGAACGTGTCGCGGAAATAAGTGAAATTGATTGGCGCGGGGCCAGTGGTTCTCGGGCGCCGCGCAGGAGGAAAACTTCGCAGGCCGCCATTAACGCTGGCTCTACGGAACACGTCGGTTTCACGCGCACCGAGCGCTACGGACATTATTTAGCACACTTCATCGCGATTTCCAGTCGTCCAATTACGTGTCTACGTATCCTAATTTTCAAACGTCGAATTTTTCAACTGTAAATAACACTGTATCACTGAAAATAGAAGAAGATTATGAATAGTTACAAGTGCCATTTTTGATTAGAAGATTACAAGATTACAGGCAATCAATTTTGGAATTCATCTTCGATGTCTCGAGGTCGACAAAGTTACTACAATTTCTGGAAATATTTATACAACTAATAAATTGGTACCATTTCTATAGAAAACGCGTGCATTATTAGAACACTGAAAGTGAATATGAAATCTTCGGAGTAATCGATAGAAAATATTTTTTTAAAATATTTTTCAAACCCTATCTTCTAAAGTTTCTCGTTCTAAAAAGTCCAATTACCAATCGAAGAAAATGAAGACAAACAAGAGATTCAACAAGAATGTCGAGTTTCCCTGTCGCAGGAACTTCCCAGCGGCAGACGCGAATGTCCCCGAAAAAAGGGTTCGAATCGAACGGGCGGAAATTGCGGACAGACGGGAAAAGAGAGAAAGAGAGGAGCTAGTCCTCTATTGATCCAAATGATACAGACACAAAGGTACGCGGCGGTTGTTCGTCAACGATTTTAACGAGCGATGTGTGTCGTCGGCAGTCCTCGTTCCGTCGAAATAAATTGCTTCGGATGGCCGGTGTGTGTCATGCCCCCGGGATGCGCCGCGTGACCGACATTTTAATGGCCCGGCTGCGGGGATTTCGATTTTCCGACCGATTCGAGCCTAAACATCCAGTAACGCGGTAAATAACGTGCCGCCGTTCCTCTTCTACGTCGTTTTTCGAATCCTAGGGCAGATCGTAGTGGGAAATCACAAGTAAATTGTGAAACAAAGTTATTTTATCCTAATATTTCACGCAGCAATGCATTATATACAGTTCGATATTAAATATTAAGTTTCATAGTTTTACTACATAAAATGTAATCTCTAATCTACGTGCTGATCTCTCGTTTGACTAAATCATTCGTTCGCGAAGTTTTCCAAATACGAACACTTCATCTTAAAATGTCGACATTCGTCTGCAAGGGGTTAATTAAGGGCTCTTCCTGCAATTAGAATGTCGAAAACAGTAACCCACACAACAGAACGTTCTATGTTTCATGAAAATCTTTGGTGAAATTGCTCGATGACGAATGTCCAGTCGATCGGCGATGGGCCACGCGACAAGATGGCGTTCGAGCGTAACGTTCGAGCGTAACCAGGAAAAGCGGCGTCGATCCTCGCCGGTTTTATAGTCTTAACCCTGGCTCGTCTAACTGGCTGAATAATTCGCGGTAATTCAATATTCCAATGCGGACGGTGGCTGAATTAAGCGGAGCCCGAGCCGCGGCGGAATGCGTTCACGATTAGATAAAAACGGCCGAGAGTGCGCTGAGAGCCGCGGAGGCTGATCGAACGTGCTCGTAAAAACGCGCGTAATTCTGTTGTCACCTCTATACACGGTGTTCGGATCTTCCCTGTCGGAACTGAGCAGTGCTGCGGACCTTCGAGACAACGGAAGTTGATTTTCGAAGGATATTTTGCCAAGTAAATGACTGAATCCTTAGCCGAGTCTTTCGGAAGCTGCGGTTCAGTCCAGGAAAAATTGAGGAAGTTAATGTAATGACTTTTGGAATTATTGTACAAATGACCTAGAAGCAACGAAGACACTATTAAATCCTTGAATAATTAAACAGAATATTCATTTGATTGAGATTGACAAATATCAGGAAGTATCAATTTTTGGAAACGTTTATGTTTCATAGTCAAGAATATATCATATTATGATAGCTTCTATTTAAATATTTTGTGATGATAGTTTGAATGTAAACTGCCAATTCGATGACAGTCATATATATATTGATTCATAGGGAAATAGCTAATGATATAATGAAAAATGACATAAATTTCCCGTTGAAGCAGAATCGTTAACACTAGAACTACCGATCATTTAATACGATTAATATGTAATCCCTACAAAAATTGTAATAATTTATTATCAATTCCTTCAGACATTCATTATACTATTCAAGTGAAACTATTTACTTTCAAGATCACTTCACAATGCTTTCAAGGTATCAATAATTACGAAATAAGAACGTTGAAACCAGTCATTTCGACTGGTACGGTAGTTCCAGTGTTAAACAAAATATCCTCAGGTTTCTCCGGAGTCTGTTTATTAATCGACGGTTCCGTGCATCGCGACGCAGAGTTCCAGCGAGAGAATAATTTTATAATAACCTTCATTTGCTTGGAATCCCGGTGTTCGAGGACGGTTTATTTCTGTCCGTTTGATCCTCCCCGAGGCGTCGCGTCGCGTTTCTCGGGGCCACCGTGTATATCGCGATGTCTGGCCGCACGGTCGCGCGTAAACGCGACAATTCCG